CTGCGTTTCTCAGTTGACTCCATTTCTTTTCATTTATTAAAAGGGAGCCCGGGTATCTGCATCATCTCCTCCTTCATTTAGTTTGAATACTCAACAAGAATATTTAAAGCTGAATTACTACGATGGTGATACAAAAAAAAAAAAAAAAAAANAAAAAAAAAAAAAAAAAAGTGGCTGCACGGCTCAGGGGTGTGCACGGCGCCGTGTTCAGGCTGAATTCCTCGCGGTCGCGGGTTCGATTCCCACTTCAGTTGTTTTTGTATTTCAAGTTTCTAGGAATCCTGTGGAGTGGAGATATTTGAGAGAATACGAGAGAATAAATAGCTTTCATTACTTTTGCATTGACTACGATGCACGCAGAGCACCCTCAAGAGTTCATATCAACGCCTGTATTTTACCGATCACTTCTCTTGCGTTTTCCTGAAAATCTATTAATTCCTGCTTTATTTTTTTATAAATAATGAATATATATTAAGTAATTTAAATATCGGTTCTCCGGGAATCGAACCCGGAACCTCGCACTAGAGCCGTGCGTTATTACTTACAAAGGAAAACTATCTTCAGCTTACCCGCAGCTTTTGCGGGGTTTCTTCAGCCGAAAACACCCTAGCACTGAATGTATGAAAAGCCAATTGCTGGGTGAACAACCACCATAGCTGTACTATATTATATTCAGAAAAAATATATAAAACATCCTTATGTTCATGTATGGAGGGGCTAGAGTGTAGCAGCAGGTATCTGCAGCAAAGCCTATAGATCCCTTTCTCTTCTCCTTTGGGTGCCTACCCCTATGAAACTTTTATTTTTAGTTGGGGGTCTGTCTGCTGTAGCTGCATGCATCCAAACTTGTTTATATATTTGTTACAGAAATGTATTTATCTGGTTAAGAAACATCTACAGGGGTGGCAGAGGAAAAGGAGAGTCGCTTGCTGCTGCTGCAGGAGTTGCAGCAGCAGATGCTGCAACTCAGTGCAGCTCTTTCCTCTCTCCCCCAGGCCTACGCCTCTCTTCAGCTTTTCTCAGCACTCTTAGAGAATGAATCAGATATCAATTGCTTCTGGAGATATATCTTTCTAGTATTTCTAGCTCTGCTGCAGCAAACGATAGTCTATGGCTAAGTGGGTGACCGAGGACGTTCGTTGTACCTGGTGTGTGTATACGTGCATCCATACGGATGAAAAAATGCGTTTCAAACGCGTATACTTTGTACAGAGTGCATGTGTATTCATCAGATACTTGTTTCCTCCTCTAAACCCTAAACCCTAAAACCCTAAACCCTAAACCCTTACACCTTGATCACCTCCATAGTTAACACCAGGCGGACGCAGCGATGCAGTCTGGCGCCCCCTCCCCCCCCCCGGGAGTGCTACGCCGAGCCTTCGCCGCTCTCACAAAGTAAAGCTTGGTTATGTACTACATACCACTCGAAATATTGTGTATATACTCTTCTCAGACATCAGCTGAATCCGGTGGTGTTGCTGATGG